TGACAAGGCAATGTCCCCACCCCCAAGAATACCTAAAATCAACCTCGACCAGGGATCATCTAAGCAGTAGGGACATGACCTGAACCAACCAGAATTCTCCTCTGACATTTTATATGTAGATACTGAGAGGAAGAAGATAAAGTCAGCCTTTTCTTCCGCATGGAGTCTCCTTCTGCAGGTTCAGTCAACCACTAATCAAAAATATTTGGGAAAAAAAGGATGCATATGTGCTAAACATGTGCAGATGTTTCTCATATTACTTCTGAGACAGTAGAGTATAACTGTTTATGTGGCACTAGGTGTTATGTAGACATTAATCTAGAAATGACTGGAAGTGCACAAGAGGATGTCCATATGTCACATGCAAATCCCATGCCATTGTGTACAAGGAACTTGAGCACCTGTGGATTTGGCATGGAGGGGGTGGAGGCCCTGGAGCCAATCCTCCACAGATACCAAGGGATGGCTGTCCCCTCCTTGAAGTCGCTAAGCTGGAGCTAAGTGGCACCTGGTCCATCTGTGGCCAGGCTTCCCTCCCTCCAGCCCCTTTTGCCCCCCACACATTGAACAGCAAAAGCAAGAGTTCGTTTTCAGAAGAGAGTGTGGACAACATGGGGGGAGAGGGTCGGGGAGGAGGGAACACGGTGATCAAGATGATCTGCTCAGCCCAGGGACAACTCCTGGGTCACGGCTTTCCCCTTTGCCAGTCTAGGGTTGGTGGTTTGACCAGTTCTGGCCAGGGAGGTGGAAAGGACTGTATGCTTGAACCTTTTCAGCTTTTCCTTGCTGACTGGGGAGTGGGGTCCGAGGAGAAGGTCACTTTCCCTCTATCCGCTTCCTTCTTATTTGTGACTCTATCACATGAGATCACCATCTTGCATTCTGCCACATGGCAGGTGGCAGAATGAAAATGCAGACACGATGTGTCCTTAGCGATATGACTGAGGAGCTGAAGCAACCTGGGCACCCTCCTTCCAGACTTCCCGTGGGGGCTGACAATGAAATGACCTTGTCATTTAAGCCACTGTTGGTCAGGTACTGTGCCACTTGTAATCAAGCACATACTGGTGGTTTAAATAATGAACAGAGAAAATAATTGAATTCTTACTTCCCTAATTACCTCAATCCCAGACTTCTCTCTTGAATTTCAGACATTCATCCCTTGGGCTTTATACCCAGACAAGACATCTCAAACTCAACAGATCACAACACTGAACCTCCTCTCCCACTTAGCAAGCCTTCACCTTGCCCTCCATTCCTGTGGTGGACCAGTCTACCTGGGTACAAAGGCGGGACTCCTAGCAGTCATTCTGCTGTCCTCATTTCCCCTGGCCTCCCATATCCAATCCATTAGCAATTCAGGTCTACTTCACATTCCAGTCTTTCTCCTCTCTCAATTTCATTGCCACTGTTTTAGTTGGCGGGTGGGAGGAAGAGGCTCTTCATTCCTCTCCAGGATCACTGCCCCCCCCCAAATACTCTGCTTACCTCCCATCTTGTTCATCTCCCAACCTCCATCAGATCCCAAGATGGTCCATGCAGAACCAGCTCTGCCTTGTCGTTCCCTTGTCTGAGGCTGGGATTCCCTAGTTGCCTAACGGTGATTCTCAAGGTGTGGTACCTGGACCAGTAGCATCAACATCACTGAGGAACTCATCCCATGCAAATTCTCAGACTCACCTTAGTGTGTCTACTGAACCAACATTCTGAGGATAGAACCCAGCTCTCTAGTTTACCTGCTAAAAGGTAAGATTCTAGTTGTTTTAATAGGAGGCTTTATTGAAACCAATACAATGTAAAGAACTTCTGCTAAACCCCAATCCAAGATTTACTTCTTACTAAATGTCCAAATTACTCAACCTCCCTTTGCCTCACTTTCTCATATTTAACAGGTAATATTGACAGTATTGCCCTTTTAGGATTGTCAGAAGTGATGTAATTCATGTATTGCTTGAAATATTGAAAACTGTCAAATTGCACGGACCAGAGTTCATGCCCTCAAAACAGCTCACAGTCTATTAAGCACTGAATAGACGTCAGTTATCATCAGCATCTCAGCAGGCTCTGTTTAAACCTCCAGTTGTGTTGGAGGAACACTGAAGAGGAGCATAACATTGACCTTAGAGAACAACTCTGCACACTGCTAATGAAAGCAGGTGTTACTGTGAATGCCCACAAATGAGAACTGATTTGTAAATGTCAGCGGCAGTCCTTCCTGGGGTTTCTGGTTCTCCTTGCTGTGCTGAGAGCAGAGATGCCGGCAGGTGCCCTGGGGCTGTGCGGCTTTCTGTGCCTTACACTAAGTGACCCCAGGCTCCTGTAGCTTTAGGATTCTTGTGTGGGTGTTTCAGTTTGCGTGTTCTTCCTTCTGCTTGTTTATCTGTCTTTGGCAGCCGTCTTGCCACTTCTTACAATGGCTGCTTTTTATCTACCTACATAAGAAACCCCAAAAGCTCGGACTGTGCAATTGCATTTGAAATAAGCTAGACTGAATGAATCGTCTTTAAATGAAGGCGTGCTTTAGGTATGCATGTGGTACTTTGACATCAGAGGTCCTTTTTTTGTCCTCCTATACCCATGGTGGTGTTTTGAAGGACAAACTTTCTTCAAATAAAGACTGCATGGTCTAGCTTGGTTTCTGCTTGGGGTTCGCTGGGGGTTCTTCTGGGCTTGGAGATCACATTTTAATGCACACTCTTGGTTAAAGCCATACTTATTTTTCTTCCAAATGCTCTACATTTTTATATGCCTCTGGAGTCTCCCTTCTTCCCCAGGAATCTCCTTTCTTTTCTCCGGAATCAGGGCCTATTCCCCATCTGGCATGTATCTCCCTTGTGCCCCTGGTCTACCTTCACCTAAACTTGCCTGGTGTTCACCTGCCACTATCCCCAAACTGTTCTCCATTTTAGACAATATTTATGTTGGCTAAATATTGGCAAAAGCAAGTTATTAGCTTGGCATGTTCACAAACACCTTGGAGATCACTAAGCAGATGTTATAACATTTACAAATCGATTTTCATTTGTGAGCATTCATAATTACACCTGCTTTCATTAGCAGTGTGCAAAGTTGTTCTCTAAGGTCAGTGTTATGTACCTCTTCAGTCTTCCTTAAACTCTGTACTGTGTTAGACCCTCTTGGGGAGAAATTACGAATCCTGATGTTCAGGAAAACCACCAGAACTATTAATTCACACTCTCTGGCAGTAGAACCCAGGCATCAGTGGTGTTTAGAACTCTCCAGGTGAATCCAATATGCAGCCAAATTGGAGAACTTGCTCCTGGGTCCAGTGCTTCCAAACTTTAATGTGCACAAGATGCTCTCAAAGATCTTGCTAAAATGCAGGCTGTAATTCAATAGGTCGAGATAGGCCTGAGATTCTGCACTTCTGGCAAGTGCCCAGGCAATGTGATGCTGATACTAGTCCAGGGACCACACTTTGAGTTGCAAACCTGTAGTCTCATCAGCCTTGCAAATGATTTCCCAGAAATCATTGTCCTTTTGAGTTCAATTATTTTCACATTTTCATTGGCTTCCTTCAGTTATGCTTTTTCCCTGTCATTCTACCCATATTCCATGGCTATGCAACACTCCCATGGTAAGGCAAGCTTGGTTCTCTAGATAATAATTCTCCTCAAAATAACCCACACAAAAAGAATTGAAGCTAAACATAAGCCAATTTTCTCCCCTATTGGATATTATTTCTCTGTGAAGCTCACTGAGCACAAGGACATATCCATCAGGCCAAGCACTCTTTGAACATTGTGTGATATTGCAGATGATAATAACCCAGTATCTTGATTATTGCTGCTCCAAATAATTTACTCACAAACACTAGGTCTTTGGCTTAAAAAAATCATTCATGATGGCAAAAAATAAAATGAGGAAACTGCAAAGCAAAAATAATTTTCAGTTTCAGAACTGGCTAAGATTCTAGATCACAGTGCCTTGGAAAATGTACTTCCTGGCCAATATTCTGCTGACTTTAAAAAAATATTTGTCAAATAGTTATCTATGGACCTTGGTCTGTGACATATTCTTGGGATTTAAAACTTTTCTAGGAGACTTTTAAATTAGTGTATTCCATGCTCATAATAACTTACAAATGAATGTAAAAGATACTTTCAGAATGACAAAGTATTGGCGTGTGATTTCAATGCCTGCATTTGCATTTGAATTTATAATTGTGTATATGTCAAATTTCATTTAATTGTCACAGGAGTTAAAGAACACAGAAAAGTAGGAGAATGTACATAAGAATCACACGTTTGAGCCAAGAGAAGGCCAAGTGGCATTAGAGAGAGCATTACAAATAACAGTTTCTCAGTACGAGAAACCCTCATAGAACTAGGAAGTCACACCACATCATATTTAAGACGTGCTAAAACTCAAAGGAAGCCATTTTATAGAAACAAGGACTGTTTTACATTAAGCACAGCCTTTTAATTTAATAAAATAATATTGTTCATTACACAAAATCAGTAACATACATTTAAACATCATTGACTCATATTTCACTAGGAATTAATTGGTAAATTGTTTGGTTCTGTGGTTGCTTCAAAATCAGCATTCTAGTTTGAGTTTGTACAGACTCAAGGAACTTTCTAATGCAATTATGTTAAGCCATGACTGAGACCTTCTTGTCCTTTAGAAAGGGTTTGCGTTGACTTTGTTAGAGTGTTTTTATTCCTCACGCACATGTTATATTCCTTACTGCTTTCTGAGATGTCACAGTGACCTAAGTATAGAGTCTAGGGGGATGTTAATGGGACACCGCTGGGAACATAAACTGAGCTCCCAGATTACATTTTTTTTATATTAGCTGCAAATATTGTAATAAACATTTCCGAGCGGAAAGTCCCCCAGCTTGGAAGGTATGCCTGATGATGAAATGTTCAGCCTGGAGGAACAGGGTGGGAGAGTTCTAATTTGAAAGGTCATTGGGAGAAATACTGGGTCTACAAGAAGCCTATGATTGGGAGGCAAAACAAAGTGCTTACGGGCTTTGGGGCCTCTGGGTTTCCAGTCCCTGATGGGTGGCTGACAGGTTTCACGGCTGCCGAGGGTTGGGTGTCCCCTTTGGGCAACTCTTGACTGCATTCTGAGAGGGAGTAAGACTGGCTCTGAGGAGTCAAAACAGAAATAGATAAAAATGCTGGTCCACTGTCAAAGTCTGTCACAAGGGGTTGATTTTCCAAAGGCAAAATTGTCCTCCAAAGATGCTAATGCAAGAGCCAAAGGGTTGTTCTTGAGGTCCTCTGCATTCTGCAGAAGCCATTCAAAACTGGTTTTCAGTTTCTGTGAAAGATACTCTGAGTGGATAGCTTCAGAATTCTGGCTAGTATGAAAGCGCTATTTACGGATGATTTCAAAAATAATGCCTCTCTGTAGAAAATATCTGTGGGATTGTAAGCATCTGAGTGCTCTTTTCAGATACTTTTAGTAAAGGAAACAGCTTAAAAACAAAGCCAGAGTTTCCAGGGGATTTGGGAGGTTATTCCTTTTCCTCCTGGTAGACATGCAACGTATCAACTTGGTGCGAGAAGCTGCAGTAGATGCACAAAGCCTCATCAAACTGCTCATTGGAATTGTTTTAGATAGACATATTTCAGTGTAAAACGTCAATAATCAACTCTTACTTGTCTGGTGCATAGTTGGTTCCAAGTGGTAATATTTTAGTTCATTTTTAGTCATTAGCAAGTTATAGACACACTATTCACAAAGCCTAAGCCTAGACATTTTAAAAGAAAAAGTAAAATATTCAATCTATTCCGTGGATATTTGTAAATACTTGGATGTTTGATGCTGTTTTAAAGGCAGGGCTGGAATAGTTTCACCTTTCAATCCAAATGATATGGCCTTGCAGGAGCATTTTTGCCTTGGCCTACTGATCCTTGCAGGATGAACCATCTTTCCCACAAAACTCCAAATGCGCAGTCTATTAAGTTTTGGACAACTTTGCCACAAACTAAACAGCTTTCATTACACATTCACAAATGTACCTTCAGCCATTTGCTCTCTGCAAGGCACTGTTTACTGCCTTACTTTAAACATTTCTCTTTAGCACCCTCTAAGAGGAATTTTTAGTCAATGGGGAAGAAACATATTCCAAAGGCATTTTTAAAGCATGGTACGCTGTTGCTAACACCCACAATAAAAGGTAATCAAAGTGGTAAAGCATGAAATTGTTACTATAACCTCATAGTCTAAATTCTTCCATCAGCTAACCAAAATTCAGATTAATTCCCCAAATCAGTGAAAAACAACTTACATGATGATTGCCCATTTTCGTGAGGTGTTGGTCTGTGTTGCATTAAGAGTTCAGTCCTCCCACAGAGGAAGTTTATAATGGTTTTCCCAGGGCGCAGTATCTCTGGTGTTTAATGAGTAACTTCTGGCTTTGGATTTGAATACATTGTTGAGGATGGGCAGGGAGTGGCCATGGCTACAAATGAGCAAAACTGCCCAAGCTGCATTGATAGGCCGTCTTTTAAGATAAAATAATTACTAATGATAAACGGTGGACCTCTTAGGAGGAGCTATTTGGTTTAAGGCTGTATATTGTTTGCATTGGTTGCTGTTATTATTTGTCTCCCACTTAAAGGCAAGGTAGTAGAAACCTTCCGTCTATAGGGTAGGAACTGTACTGCCTCAGATCCACATGGCTGGATGGGCAGACACACAAACAGCCTGAGAAGACAAGGGAAAAATCGCCCCAAACAAACCCAGATGCACCAACAATAGAATCTAATAGAATCACCACAGTGGAAGAAATGTCAGAGAAGGAGTTTAGAATGTACATAGGTAAACTGATCCGTGAGGTAAAGGACAATGTAAAGAGTGAAATCAGAGATAAAATTCAGGAGGTGAAAGATGTGAATTCAATAAAGAGATGGGGAATTCTAAAAAGAAATCAAGCAGAAATCCTCAAAATAAGGAATTAATAAACCAAATTAAAAATTTAATGGAAAGCATCAGCATCAGACTAGACCATTTGGAAAACAAAGTCTCAGGCAATGAAGATAAAAGATGTAATCTTGAAAATAAAGTTGACCATACAGATGAGATGTTAAGAAACCATGAACAGAACTTCCAAGAAGTATGGAACAACATGAAAAGACGAAATTAAAGATTTATCAGGATAGATGGAGGCATAGAGATATAAACCAAAGAAATGTGTGATCTTTTCAAAGATATAATCTCAGAAAAAATTTCAGACCTAAAGAACGAAATGGAAAATCAATACAAGAGACTTACAGGACCCCAAATTACATCAGGCTCCCACCAAGACACATTATAATGGCTGATCTCTCAATCCAGACTTGGAAAAATATATATCAAATTCTGAAAGAAAATAGATGCAAGCCAAGAATAATATACCCAGTGAAATTAAGCTTCAGATTTGAAGATGAAATAAAAACATTCCATGACAAACAAAAATTAAAAGAATTCAAAGGAGAAAGCCTGCACTATAGAACATTCTCAACAAAATATTGCACGAAGATAAAATTTTAAAAAAGTGAAAACCTGCAAAGGGATAAACTACACTAAGGGAATAATCAATCAAAGGAGAAACTAATTCAAATTAAAAAACAGAAATAAATAAAAATGACCAGGACTTCATAATATATATCAATAATAACCTTGAACATTAATGGCCTAAACTCATCAATCAAAAGATATAGACTGGCAGAATGGATTAAAAAAACAAGACCCAATAATATGCTATTTCCAAGAGACTCACCTAATAGGCAAAGACATCCACAGACCCAAGGGGAAAGGATGGGGAAAAAACCATATTACTCACATGGACATTGTAAATAAGCAGGGGTTTCCATCCTTATGTCAAAAAAAGTGGACTTCAATCCAAAGTTAATCAGAAGGGACAAAGAAGGACATTTCATACTGCTCAATACAACAACAAGACATAGCAATCATAAATATTTATGCCCCAAACAATGGAGCATCTATGTACATCAAACAAACCCTTCTCAATTTCAAGAACCAAGTAGACCACAAAACAATAATACTGGGTGACTTTAGCATACCTCTCTCACTACTCTATAGATATGCAAACAAAAACTAAACAAAGAAACTATAGAACTAAAAATACAATCAATAGTTTAGACTTAACAGACATACACAGAATATATTACCCATCAATAAGCAAATACACTTTCTTCTCAGCAGCACATGGATCCTTCTCTAAAATGGACCATATTTTATGCTACAGAGCAACTCTTAGCAAATACAAAAAATAGATATAATACCCTGCATTCTATTAGATCATAATGGAATTAAATTTGTAAAAAAGAAGCTAATTTAACAACTGGAAACTAAATAATATTGAAAGACGAATGGATAGTAGAAGAAATAAGAGATGAAATAAAAAATAGAGGTGAACGAGAATAGAGATGGAACATTTCAAAACCTCTGGGACACTAGGAAGGCAGTGCTAAGAGGACTGTGCATTGCACTGAGCTCTTTCATTACAAGAATAGAAAGTCAATGAATAAATGACCTAACATTACATCTCAAAGCCCTAGACAAAGAACAAATCAACACTAAAAGCAGAAGACAGGAAATAATTAAAATGAGAGCTGAAATTAATGAAATTGAAACAAAAGAAACAATTGACAAAAGAATAAGTTGGTTCTTTGAAAAAATAAAATTGATAAACCCCTAGCCACATGAATGAAGAGAAAGAGCGAGAAAACTCAAATTACTAAATTTCATGATGAAAAAGGAAATATCTGAAGTTTTCTTCCCTTGATGTGTCTTATCTGGTTTTGGTACCAAGGTATCAGGGTGATACTAGCTTCATAGAATGAGTTTGGAAGGGTTCCCTCTTTTTCTATTTCATGGAATGATTTGAGGCATATTGATGTTAATTCTTCTTTGTCTTGAAGACATCAACAGATTTCTAGAGACATATGACCTATGCAAACTGAATCAGGACATACACAATTTAAACAGATCAGTTTCAAGCAGTGAAATAGAAGACAACCTCAAAACCCTACTGATTAAGAAAAATCCAGGACCAGAGGGATTCAGAGCTGAGTTCTACAAGACCTTCAAAGAAGAATGATGTACTGGGGCTCCTTCAGCTTCTGGAGAGAGTAAAGAATGTCACTCAGTCAGCTGGCTTCCAACTGTAAAAGGCAGAGTCACCTCAACACTCAGGATACTGATTAGTGAGAAATCTGAGAAAGAAAATAAAATTAACAAACAAACATAAATGCACTCATTCACACACATTCATATTTCCTGGAAATGTTTTGCAGTGCTAACATGATCATCTTTACTGATAGGCCATGGATACTTTTTCTTCTTTGCATTTCTCTTAATTATAGTTTCCTTTAATTTTTTTAAAAAACTCGTGTGTTGCTTTTAAAATTAGAAAATAAATAAAACTTCAAGAAAAAAATTACTGATAACTAAAATATAGGCTTTCTAAGTTGTATATTATTCACAACTAAAAGGCTAAAATTGACTCACTTCTGAATTGTTAGAATGATTCTTTCATGTTCTTTAAAAAATTTACACCTTTTAATAATAAAAACATTAACCAAGTAGAATGAAAAATCTTACTATTTACTACTTTATCACTGTCGTTGTTAGAGAATTTTATGATGGCTATACTAGGTTCTGCTAGGTCATCATTTTTACAACCTAGCTAGTTTTTAAATTTAAAGAATAATATGTGAAGATGGTAATTTTTTTCTAATCATATAAGAAGTGCAGTGAAAACGAAGCCCACTGACCTCCCAGAGTCTTTCCCAGGGAGATTCCTGCAAATCCTTCCAGAATTGAACTATCCACAAATAGCCATGTCTGTCTGTTTACCTCTCCTCCTCTTTCTCTGTTTATCTCTGGTCTCTTCTTTTTCTCAATAAATAGGTTTGTACCATGCATTTGACTGGTTTCAGGCCTTGTATGTTCCTATATCAGGAGATGCATGACATTGGCACATTTCTGTTTTGGTGGCAGGATGGAAATCCATTATAGTTGTGAACCAAGCCTGAGTCCATCATTACAGTTCACTTAGGAACCTGTTTTTGGTTTTTTGCATGAATATTTTTCATATATACTTCAAATTCTGATTGATGTTGCCAAGTTGCTCCCCACATGAAAGTATAGATGCTGGGCTGCTGTCAGAGATCGGCTGGCCCAGGAGGCTTACTTCCCAAAGACAAAATGTACACCCCCTAAAATAATATGCCAGTGCTCATTTCCTCACTTACTGGCCAACACTAATATTAAACTTTCCATTTCTGTTAATTTCAAAAATGAAAACTCATTATTTTATGGTTTAATTTTTATGTCCTTTATTTAATAGTGTTAGACTTCTACATTCCATTCCTTTGGAGCTATTTTTATGGATATTTCTGTGGTTTACTTGTTGCTGTCCTCAATTTTCCTTTTTAGTTATTAGTCTTTTCATTTATATTTATGAAACGTTTTATTTATAGTGGAACTTAGGCCTTTGTCAAGTGTAACGATTATTTCTCCCCAGTTTCTTTGTTTGCCTTTTGTCTCTGTTTATGTTTTGAGTGTGTATATGTGTATGTGTGAAACATTAGTTGTTTTTTTTCTTTCTTTTTTTTTTTTTTTGCGGGGATAGATACCCAGAGCACTTGACCACTTGACCACTGAGCTATATTCCTAGCCCTTTTTATATTTTATTTAGAGATAAGATCTCACTGAGTTGCTTAGTGCCTCACTTTTGCTGAGGCTGGCTTTGAACTCCTGCCTCACCCTCCTGAGTCACTAGGATTACGGCTGTGCACCACTGCGCCCCCCTGAAAGTGTTAGTTTTTATGTAGTCAAATATCAGTCTTTTCTTTCAATTGCTTAGAAAAACCTTTTCTACATGATGATACTTAAATCTTCTTATACACTGTCTTCAAGTTATTTTATTGTTTTAAGACTTACATCTTTGATCCATTAGGAATTGATTTTGATATAGATTAAGAAAGAAAAGGATTTGACTTAGTTTTGGTTAGACAGTCAATCCTAGAGTTATTAAATAATTCATTTTTCTTCTATTGGTTTACCTTTATTTTATGATAAATTCCCTTATAAAACAGAATTAGAATTCTATATAGGTTTATTAAGTCCTTATAGTATATAGTCACTTTTGTTCTTTCAATTTCCATCAGTTGAGAACTTTGGATGTACTAATTGTTGCAACTACCAAAGCAAACAAGACTGATATGGATTTTCTGTTCCTAGAATTTATATTTGAATTTCTATATAAAACACAAGCAAATAACTAACCAGAAATGGTTATGTGTGCTCTAAAGAAGATAAACAGGATGCAATAACAGAGACTATGTGTGTCTGTGTCCATGTGATTTCCCTGAATTGGGAACAAGAAGCTAACATTTAAACCATGAATTAA